TTTACTTGCCCACCTATAAATATTACTCTTTCCTACTTCCAGTACAACACGTATAGGCCACACTGGAATGAAAGCTGATGAGATACTAGACAACATCATTGCAGCAGCTGAGGTGATTGCTAAGAAGTTACCCAAGGTACTGCGGATCCATTGCACCGAATTATGAACAACGTAGCTGAAGCCACGACAGTTCTTACATAATAGATGTTGTTTTGTGTTTGCAGAATTGGAAAAACGTGAAAGTTCTTCACCTCAAGACACTGAAATCAGTATCACTTCCAATTTTTACTGCACGAATATCCAACTTAGATGAGCTTGATAAAGAGCCGAATGTCGATAAAAAGCAAGGAGAGGTAACAATTCAAAAAAATGTAAAACTTTCCATAAAACTGTACTGGAGCCACGAGTTGTTTGGCCTCTTTTTATGCAGTATGAATCTAACTTGCTGGGTTTACAAATCTGATCAGTGGATTGAAGGCAAGTATGGCTACAAAGGGGTCAGGCACTCCTGACTGTGGGCGCTTCCAATACACAGTAGCAAGAAACCATTGAAACTCCCCCAGGAGGTTACAAACCAAGCTGGAAATAAGCTGGTTTCTAGTCAGCTCAACTGAGATTACTTCTCAGAACTTTTGCTTGAATTCATATTTGTTTATTCATATTCACTTACTGAAACTGCATTCATTAACATATACATGGATTTAGACCGTGTCAATTGTGGCATGTGAATAATTCCCACTCTTAGATATTTGTATCTTATTTTGCAGAGGATTGGTGGGGAGAACTTCACCTACATTAAAAAGTAAAAATAGCTATCCCTTTATTTTGTGTTCTGTCTGTTACATCTGTTTCTGAAACAAATTGGTAGCACATACATCTTGAAAACTTTAATCTTTACAGTTATATCATTTATGAGTTTCCCCTATGCTGAAAGTAACACATCTTTTTTTCATATTTTACTTATGGTTGACCAGCCCAGTTCAATTGAAAAACATTTCAATTTGTTACTAGACTTCGTTACTTTTAGACATATGAAAACAATTGTTTTATGTTTAGAAATGTTGTGGGGATTTCTCTGAGTTGTACTTCAAATTAATTCTAGAAGGAAAAGAAAAAGAAACCAAAGAAGACAGCTAAAAAGACAAATTCAAGACGAAGTACAGTGACAACTAAAAAGAAGGGCGCTGCTGCTACCCAAGAGCTTGGGATAAAGGAAAAAGTAGTCCAAGATCCAGAGGAACATGCTGATGATGAAGAAATTCCACAACTGGTGCCTATGCAAATAAACGGCCTTGCTCAGCTAAAGGTAATTGTGAGTTTATTATTAAACACTCCAATTAAAACTAAATATTTTAAACCATGTAAATGATTTTTCACCATACTTTTTTTAACATACTTCAAATGAACTATATTTTCTTAAAAAAATAACATGAAAGTAAGAGCTCAGTTAATGGGAGGGATGCTTTGTTTGGTTTTATTTCCTCCCGTAAAGAAAGCCAGTGTTTGTCTCTTTCTGTCTTTTCCTGAATAGCAGCCATTTTGCTTATCTAACAGGTCTGAAGTCAGAAGGAATATTAAAAATGATAGGAGCCTGATCCTTTAAAAAACTAAATCAATAATTTATTTGATTAATTCAAAATTTCTTGTAAAAATAATAATAATAATAATAATAATTTATTGTGTCACCTACCTGTAGTGAAGAACTTGAAAAACAAATAACGCCTACTCTAGAATAGTTATGTGCAACATTAATGATCACATAATATACACTGAGAGCAGCTTGCAGTGAAACTGCACATATTTACTGCTGTCAATATTGGAGGTAATGAGGACTGCATCGCTAACATACTTGCAAAACAGCCAAACTTGCATTACTTGTGCCTAAGAAATACCCAGTGGAAAGGCAATGGATGAATAAAACTGTAAGGCTTCTAAATTCAACTCAGTTAAATTATATTTGTGATTGGAGCATAGCCTTAATAGGTATCTGTTCAGAGATGTCTGAACGGATGTCTGTGCTACTGTGATTATGTACAGCCCAACATAAAAATAACAACATAAATCAGTTTTTGTCAAGCTGCTGTCATGCAGCTGGCCTACATCAGTTCATGTGATGCAATTGCCAGAGCCCTGGGATGCTTACAGCTGAAGCTGAGTTGGATGAATTGTTGTGAAAGCAGCTCTCTTTCATGAGGGTCGTTTGGGAATATCTCTAGGGAATACTTTGCCTGATCCACACACAAAGCACAGTCAGTCGGTGATATGGCTGGATTTTGAATAAGAGCTGTGCCTATCAAATCTAAGCCCTGACATGTAGCAAGCTTACTGTGATTTCAGCTCTGCCAGCAGAGTACTGACTTAGTTAGCCAAGAGGGTGAACATCTTTGTATCTGTTCCATCTATTTGCTTTGTAACTATTTTTATATTTTATGGTTTTTTTTATAAACACAGATCTAATTCTGTGTTTTGCCTTCTACTTCTGGCAAGGTAAGTAAATGGCTGTGGGGTGACCTCATTGCAGCCTTTCAGTACCTAAAGGGAGCCTACAAAGAGGAGGGGAATCAACTCTTTGAAAGCATCGATAACTGCAGGACAAGGGGAAATGGTTTTGAGGAAGGGAAGATTTCGGTTGCATGTCAGGGAGAGTGGTGAGGAGCTGGAACAGCTGCCCAGAGAGGTTGTGGATGCCCCGTCCCTGGAGGTGTTCAAGGCCAGGTTGGACGGGGCCCTGGGCAGCCTGGTCTTGTACTGAATGTGGAGGTTGGTGGCCCTGCATGTGGCAGGGAGGTTGGAGATTCATGATCCTTGAAGTCCCTTCCAACCCTGGCCATTCTGTGATTCTGTAAATCATTTGGGCTAAGGAGTTGTGTAATTGATAGAAAGCATTTGTTGCTTATAATGGCTCTTTTAAATCTCTTCAATAACAGTAAAAATGTTTGTTATTTGAAAACATAATGTTGCTTGGTTTTTTTTTTTTTTTTTTTTTTCCTTCTCTGTATGTCTTAATTACAGAAAGAGGAACCAAGTCCAGAAAGAAGTGTCAATCTGGTCAATAAAACAAAAGCAACCCTTGGTAAGAGAAAGAAACAATTTCTTGCTCCAGAAACTTTGAAACAGAAAGTTACAGGAGAGCGGGCAGACTTGCAGATGTCACCAAAAAAAAAAAAAACCATGCAGATCAGCACGGAAAAGGAAGAAATAAAACAGCTGGATAAGACTCCTAAAAAGCCTGAAGCAAAGTCTTTTGCTACACACAAAGTGCAGTCAGCCAAGAAATCTTCCAAAACACCCAAGCAAGCAGCCAAGAAAGTGTGCAGACCACAGTTGTCGTGAATGCTGCCTACCTGCTGTACCATTTTATGTAGTTGTTCAATGCTGTCTTTTCATGAATATAAAGTAACATGCCTTCTTAAGAAAAGCTGATCTTAGGAGCTTTTTCTCACTGGCTTAATGATTGATTTGTAGTTCCTTCTAATGGAAGAATAAACACATTATTTTAATTAGCTGTATTTGTTACCTTACATCTTTTCCATCTTTTTAAAAAAAAAAAAAATCAGCTGTATCTTTCAATTTAAATCTTTTGGTTTCTAAAGCTTGTTGCATTTGAGCAACATTATTTTGGAAGGCTGTCTAGCTGTATGCTTAAGTTCAGCTGCAGAACAGCTCAAAGTTACATTTTTGTTCTTACTGCACAGCCACAGTTTATGAGCTTTTTCCTCCCACCTGACTTCCACGTTCTCTGTATGTTTTAGAGTTCATGCACAGGGATTTCCTTCTTCACTAAACTCCACATTCATGTAGCAGATGTCAGTGCTTGTGATTTTCGTTAATATGGTCTTACCTGCTTAAACTACAAACATGAATTTCTTAAAATACTATATCTTCTTTAAACCTTCTGCCTTGTCTCTCTTTACTATTTCCTACCAGTTTACAATCTTTCTTAGAATTCCTATATTCTGTTGAAGTGTTCTGTTCTACTTGGGTTTCTTCTATGCTGTTCTTCACATTTAAGAAGACAAACCTGTTTCTTTTCCCTAAACTTCACACAACAAGGATGTACTTGACTTGAAAGATGATCTTTGTTGTCACCACTGTATTTCCTTGCATTGCTTATATTCACTTTTCAAAGCTTAAAATCACTGAGGTAATTTCTAATATAATTGTGCATCAAGGGGAACAGAACTCTGGTCTATTTTAAGTTTCTAGACAGCACAGTAATGGAATAATGGTAAACTGATTTGTTTCAATTTTTTCCATTTAAAATATGTTTTGGGCGTTATCTGTATATCTATAAAATATATTGCAAGGGCATTTGCATTTATTGTTTCTATAACTATATATATGGTAGACTTCAGTTCTTAGTCTTTTCGTTTCACCTTGTGGCTACTTGCTAGCTGTTAAATGGAGTATTAACTTTGCTTCGAGGATGTTAGACTGAAATTGAACCCCTGTTTAGGGAAATGCATTCTGTATCAGACCGCTATCTGTTGGTTGGGACAAAAAATAGTGTTCCTATATATATAATTGTAGTTCCTTCTTTAGTCAACTGTTCTGTTAAGAAACTGTTAAGAAAACTTTTTTTTTTTTTCCAGGGAAAATGGCAAAAATAACAAATACTTATTCATTGAAAGTTCTAGACTTCATAATCAATTACATTGTTAAAAATATATTAAATTTGAAGAGCAGAGAGAGTATACTCAGTTTGTTCTTTGTAGTACAAATTTTTGTATACATTTTTCACTTTCTAAAAGGAATTAAAGGTGGTGTAGTGGTAGCAGTGTATTGTTGCTTGTTAAGAGGTACATGCTTTCACCTAAGACAGAGACTTAGGTACACTTTTTAGAACTCATTCACTATAAATGTGTATATTTCTGTAGTACTGTTGTATGGGAACTACTGAGTCATGGCCTGAACCTCTGATTGATCACCTGAGGCGAGCAGTGAGTCAGCCAGAGGAGCACAGGTGAAGGCAATGCAGCTGTGCTGCTGGAAGGGGTGCAGCCAGGCTACCAGTGGGGAAGGATCTCATCTGGAGATCCCTCCTGGTGTTTTGTGGTGAACTCAGCATAAAGGTAAGCCTTCCATTTATTCTCTCTTGTTATCATAGTCCACCTAACTCTTGTTTATTTTGTGATTGTAACATCTTAATATCCATCGATTGTACAACTGTAGTAACTCTATTACATCTTTTGTCTCATTTACTTTGGATTGTACTTCAATATGGTGTATTTTGTTTGATGTTGCAAGAAATAACAACTGAGGCCTAGTAAACAGTAACTAGTTTAATCTTTTTCCTTTTGATTTCAGCTTGTCTTTCTACGGGTACCTTTTATTGAATACTGTTGGTAACACAGGCAATGATAAGTGAACAAACTGCTATGATTGAAACAAAGAGTCCTCAGTGGCATCATGTAGAAGCTGCTCATGCTCTTAAGTGTGTGTATTTCCCCTGATCTGGTATTTGTGCTTACTAGTGGCTGCACGCTATTAAGCAAGTGTTAGAAAAGCCTCCTGGGAGCATGTGCAGGAAAGCCTACACTTGCATGCAGTTGTACTGTAGTGTTAGAAGGTGGAAAGATGTGTACCAGATCCTTCACTCTCACTAGGTGACGTATAACACAACGTTGCACCTTTTACAAACCAGTTTCATCTCTGTACTTGCATTCACTACTTGTTGCCTGCTTGTTACTCTGAAGCTATGTTCTGACTGCTCCTTCTAAGCCAATCTCCTCAAATGTGCACTCTGTGACTTTGTCACATTTTATAACTGTTGTGAATATCCTATGCCCTATAGGCTGCTAAATCACTCACACAGGGCTGTCTGGAATGGTACAGCTACCTCCCAACAGCCTCCTTTGGAGCATGTCCATTCTGGGTAGAGGTGCCGGCACGTTTGGCTAACCAAGGCAAAACCCTTCACATCGGGTCGCATCTAGGTGCTACCCATGCTCACCTGCACCAGGAAACGACAGCAATCAGGAAAGGTTCAACTCCAAGACGCTTACAGCTGCTACCGACCATCTTCTCCAATGCCTGCACCAGCTACTCTGCCATTAAGCAAAGCGATGCTCGGAGGCCTCGCAACGGAGGTCCTTGGCAGGTGAGGGGCAGCGGCCTGAAGGGGCGGAAGCCCGATCTAGGCAAAGGGCCTCCGCGAACGTGGGGCCAACACTGTGCTGAGCGGTCAGAACCGGGGAGAAACGCCCGGCGTCTGCAGCGCCCTCGCCTCAGCGGCGGCGGGGCGCGACGCAGGCGGTTCAGGGAGGGGCGTGGCCCCGCGAGCACAGGTGAGGCCGGAGGGGGCGCGGCCTCGGCTTCCCCTTCAGGTGCGAGCGGCTCGAGGCGGCGGCGCCGTCGCTCTTCCACCATGGCAGCCCCCGGAGGTCTGGGCCGCTGCGTGGCCGCCTTCTGGCTGGCTCTGGCCTTCGACGCGGTGGGTTTGGCGGTGCTGCTGGCCGGGGTGTTCGCCGACGTGTTCTTCGCCGACTTACTAATCTACGCGGGCGGTATCGGCATCTTCCTCAGCCTCATCTGGTGGGTGTTCTGGTACGCGGGCAACCTAGAGGTGTCGCCAGAGGAGCTGCGCGACGACGTGGGGCTGGCACCGCCCAAGGGCCGTGGGGATAGCGTACTGCGGGGTTTGGTGCACGGCTTCAGCCTCCGCTTCTCTTCAGTTCTCGGCACAGCGTCTCGTTCCCGCCGCGCCGCCGACCTGGAGCTGCAGCGCCCCCGCGGCCTGCCGCGCCGCCCCGCCGACGGCAACAGGTGAGTGGAGGGGGGGGGGCGGTGCGGGAGGCCGGGCTGGGGCGCGTCCTGCTGGGGGCGGGCGCGGCCGGAGAGAGCCGTGCAATAAAGCTGGCTTGGGTGAAAATCGGTCATTTGTGTCTGGGGACGCAGGAAATTTTCTCTCCTCATGCTAAACTTATGGAAAGTAACAATGAAAACTTGTTATGTCAATCTCCATTGGTCCGTTAGGAAAAAAAAAAGGAAAAGTTGATTCTAACAATAAGGGAAATTGGAAAAGTGTCCTGAAATTGCTTACGCACAGAATCAAAGAATTGCAGGGGTTGGAAGGGACCTCTAGAGATCGTTGAGTCCAACTCCCCTGCAAACCAGGCTCCCTACAGCAGGCTAAGATGTCTCAAAATCAAACAGACCAGCACAAAGGACATCCGTGAGTCCATAGGTCCCTCTGAGATGCATCACAGAGTCTTGAGGGAATTGGCTGATGTAGTTGCCAAGCCATTCTCAGTGATATTTGAGAAGCTGTAACAATCAGGTGAAGACCCTGATGACTGGAAAAAAGGCAGTGTCACACCTGTTTTTAAAAAGGGTAAAAAGAATAACCCTGGGAACTACCGACCTGTCAGTCTCACCTCTGTGCTAGGAAAGATCATGGAACAGATCCTATGCTGTGGTGATAGAATGGGGGGAAATGGCTTGAAGCTTAAAGATGGTAGATTTATGTTGGCTGTAAGGAAAAAGACTTTTTTCTTACAGGAAAGTAGGATGGTGAGGCACTGGAACAGGTTGTCCAGTGTTGTGGTTGATGCCCCAGACTTTCAAGGTGACGGTGGATCAGTGGGTGGGCAACTTGATCAAACTGCGCATTGCAGCTTGAGCCTTGTTCATTGCAGGGGAGTTGGATGAGATGACCCTTAAAGGTCCCTTTCCAACTCTAAGGATTCTATGAAACAAATCTGCATTCATGCGTGAGCATGAAGAATTTGGCATGTTGACCTTGGAAGATCTGTCATATGGCAGGGTACCAAGGCTGCAGTCTTGAACTGATCCTGACTGCTGCTGAACTGCTGACAACAACTTGAAATGTGAGGTAACAAATAACCATAAAGCACTAGCATCCACTAGAACTCCTGTGAGGAAGGAAGCTCATGTTCTACCAACACAAAATAATCCTTTTGTTGTGAAGAGAAAAAAACAGTGAAATGCCAGCTGGTATGCATCTTGGAGGCAGAGTTGCAACAGATAGTTCAAAACTCATAAAGAATTCATAGCTGAGCTACTCGTCACTGTGAACCTCAATCATCTGAAGAATATGGCTACTATTGAGTCTGCAGAAGCAATGTCAGAATCCAGCTTCAAGCATCATTTGAACAATCACTGAAGCCTTGAAAACATTCCTGGTCTGTTTGTACGCATATCACATTTACTTAAGAATGAAAGTATGGAGGGGAAAGAAGTCAAATTGTTATACTTACTATACTGGCCATTACAAAAGCTTCCTGATTAATTAACTTGGAATTACATGTATAAAGAAGTCTGGATGTTAAGGGGGAGTGCAGTGAATTGCTGTTGTTGAATAAGGAAGCTTGTTCTTTATAGAAACTCATTTAAGCATTTTTTTGTCACTTGGTTCTTGTGATTATTAGTTTTGCTGTGTTGTTTTGTTTTTTTCTTGTTCAAGGTAAGCAAAATACCATATGCTGTTTTGATTTTGTTTCTAAAAGATATGTAGTAGAAATGGGTGAGAAATCTCAAAGTATGAAGTGAGTTATATTGAATAATGAGTAGGGTTCTTGAGTCTGAAAGGAGAAGCAGAGAATAAAATATTCAAGTCCATCTGCACAGTCATAAATGGCACCAAAATGTGCATAAGGAACAATTATTTATTACCCCTCCAATGACAAAGAATGTATCAAAGAGTTGTTGCATGTTTGACGTAGTGTAAAGTAACAGATAAAAATTTACAAACTCAAAAAGCTACAAGGAAAACAGAAGTGACATGAAGATGTTATGTTCCATCTGGACAAAACCTGGGGCAGTACGTGGAATTTGAGATAATATCTTGAGGAGATAATGTTTGCATTCTATGATCTTATGCTTTTAACATCCGTACTTGGTCACTGTTGGAGATGAGCTGTTGTGTTTTTTTGGTTTTTTTTTTTTTTTTGTATTTTTTCATGTGTGGGATCCAACTGGCTGTTAAACATGCAGAAAAGTACTTTTAAGACTGATTTCAAGGCATGATTTAGAGTTTTATATGGCTGTTTTAAGACTACTTTGGAGTAACCATTTCTTACTGTATTATTTTCAGGATCTGCTGAAGACAAGCCTGTTGAAGTTATTGCCTCTAAAAGAGGTGAAACTGCTACAATTCATGGAAGGAGAAATCTGTATTCCATGCAGTAAGATTCTTTCATGTGGAATAATTTCTGCAATCACAGTGGACTTTATATGAAATGGATGCATAGACCTATATCTCTGCCAAATGCACCTATTTCAGTGTTGGACTGGATCACATCTGGTTGTTATTTGTTTTTTTGTTTGTTTGTTTCATCATTTCAAAACTTAAAATTGACTTTCCAAGAAGCAAGAACTAAAAAGGAAACCAACCCAATACACAGAAAAAATAACTGCAGCATGTTATACATAATTACCTTTCATAATGACCCAGGAATGTTTGGATTAAAAGCTCTTGCACAGTGAAAAGCTTTTGCACTGTTTTTCTAAGGTCTGGAAGTTAAACTCACTGTGAATTTTATATGATGTCAGTGCAATACTTTTATTTGTAAGGGTGCTTTTAAAATACCTGTGTAAAACTACTGGTGCAGTTATGAATGCAGAAGTTGTTAATAGTGTAAATACAAGATTTACAGTGACTCCTATGAAGTTTCATCATTATTTGGGAATAGCTTGGAATTTGAGGTTTTATAAGTACACAAGTAAAAATAGTGATGTTGGCATTCCAATTCTTTCTTCATAGTTACATGTAATATAATATGATAAGAGGAGGCTTTTGAATTCAGTTATGATACAATAACTTTTTCTAACGCTGAAGCATTAAAAAAACTGTAGACTAAAAAGCACTCTGATGCTTTACAAAATTCTACCAAATTTATATGTAGATGCAATTGAAATTAGAAGAAGCCTGTATAAAAGATTAATATTAAAGTTAATGATACCTAAAACTCATGTATGTGATAAATTTTTGTGTTCCTCTGTTTCTGCACTAACACAAAGAGTTTGAGACCACCATTGGCACTTATGGTAGGCCTTGCACTTTTAATGCATGATTGTTTTTATGCTGTACCTTATTGAATACAAGAGGTGGATTTAACAAGAGAGTTTACTCAGAATACTGTGGCTGCATTTCCTCGTGAGCCCGTTAAATATCTTTAAATGCTGTCTTGAAAGTTACTGGACTATCTTCTACATGCATTCTATTTCTTTAAATATTTTCCAAATGCTCTCAGTCTTTTGTAAGACTGACACATAGACACTAGATGTGGGAATCTATAATTTCTTTACTAAATGCAGATGTTAGGAGTTAGAGCTGTATCCTCCTTTTAGAGAACTGCAGTGTGTGACACCACTATTTTTATTACAATGGTCTGATTAAAAAACAAACAAAACCCTCCTCCCTAAAACCTACATATTATGATTTCAATGTCTTTTCCAAGGCAATTTTTCATTTCTCTGTGCTGAAAAGTTATTTTTCCTGACTAACCTGTAGCTTCAATTGTTAAACTAAGTTTTGAGACATAAAATGTCTAGTGAGTAGAGTAGCAGTTATAAATTAACCCAAAATTTGTGCAGCCATTTGTGTACTAGCTCTGATGACAGTTTTCTCTAATGTAGTGTTGCAGTTATAAATATCAAAATAAACTGAGTAGGGCTTTAAATTTACTGCACGTTACGATTGATCTTTTATCCAGTATCAGATACTTAGTGACTGTGATGGATGGTTGTTAGAATGTCATTTGGCTGCAGAGGGTGTTGCTCTAATTATATGAGATTCAAATGTTTACAATTATTAATAGTATGTACAATTTAATTTTAAATATAGGAGCTGGCACATAAAAAAAAAAATAAAAATTATGTGTTCTTCATAGAGGAGTACCATGATGTTACTAATGATGTATATCTAAACAAAGAGGTAAAAAGTACTTGCTGTGGAGCAGTGCCATTATAAGCTATGATTTGAGTTTGTTGGGATTTTTTTTTTTTAATATAAAATAGTTACTCTGTCATGCAGCCTATTGTTTGCATTCTGCATAACAAAGATTAATACTAAATAGAAGCTGGCAACTTGATTGTTAGCAGTTAAACATTAACAGATGTTTAGTGTTATCTTAATTTCCTGGTGTCCTTGTCAGTTGTAGCTCAATGCAGCACAAAGTCCATGCAAGGAACATTTACACTGTTGATTGCAAAGAACTTGCACACGCATAGGAGTGTGTGTAATTGCATGCTTTACACAGCTTTATGTCTAGATTCCCTCAGACCTAAAGGCCAGTCTCCGGCTGTTCAAATATAGCCAAGGTTTCCTGTAACCAAGTTTCAGCTTCTTGTTGCTTATACACCAGTCTTTTGTAGCTGGCTAAGCCTTAATGCTAGCTTAAAAGAATACTTCCTGATGTGACTACTAAAGGATCATGTAACTCTCTAATGTATGAGCACACAGCAAGGTTAAATGCTTGCTGTTAGGCTCTTTAGATATGTGCTATATGCATGGCTTATTTTCCTTCAATAGGAACATCTTATCCATGGAGAAACTAAATGAAAGTTACTAACGAATTTTCTAACAATCTCTGATGGGACTGATGGGTTTTCTAGGGAGGAAAATTGTTGAGGATGAGCTACTTGTTACAGAGGTGGCCAACCCAGAGGATCAGCGGATGCTACAGCTGGAGAAGGGCTGAGATTAGTCATTTTGTTGCTGTAGCTGGTCTGTGTGAGCTACGGAACAGTGAAGTGTTTGGCTGAATTGATGAAGGTTGAGAGCACTCTGAACATTATGAACTATAAAGGAATATATGTGTTTTCATTTGTACTTTTCCAGGATGTTCTGTGAAAGTTAATCAACGTTTTCATCTTTTTTAGTTCCTTTTGAATTATGGGTATATCCTTCAACTGAATATGTTTGAGAGCATTGAGGAATGGGACTCCATCTATGCATGCAGTGCTTAGTGGTGGGAGAGGAGAAGCTGTTCCTGCACTGAGACAGGAATGTCGATGGGTGTTTTGTTGAGCGTGTTTGGAGAACGGTGGCAAAGATGAAAAGTTTCTGGAAGATGCAACCATCTCTTGGTCCTATCAAGTGCCTGCTAGCTTCCCAGGATCAAATTCTGTTTTGTTCAGATGGCATTCAGCTCTTCTTCAGCGTGACTCCATTGTTAGGATCGTCAGGGTTCCACAGCATTTTGTTTGCTTGTTTCCCCCTCTCAGTAAAATGACTGCTCCAGAGTGACACTGCGCTCAAATCTGGACCTTCGCTTTCCGAGGAAGCCCTACGTTGTAGCAGCAACCGCGCCTCTGCACGTAGCGCCGCGCCTCCCTCGGTCCTCCCGCGCTACCTCCGCCGGAGACGTTCCCGCCCTTCCAGCCTCGCCTCTCTATGGCGCGAGGGGAGGAGCGGTCCCCCGCTTCCGGTGGGGCGCGGGCGCCCTTCTGCCGGTTGCGCCGTGTGGTAGCGTGGCGCGGAGGGCCGCCTGGGCCATTAGCGGAGCACGTCGCCGTCCGCGAGACGAGGTGAAGTGCAGTGCGAGGGCTGGAGGGGCTGAGCCGGTTTCGCTTTTCTTCACGCGTGGAGCCGTGACCATGCTGGCGGGGGACGAGTTCATCAGTTCCCCGCCCAAGAAGACAGTGCGGTTCGGGGGTACGCTGACGGACATCCTGCTGAAGTACGAACGGGTGAGTGCGCGGCACGGGGCTAGGGCCGTCCGCGCGGCGGCGTGTCCCGGTGAAAGCTCGTGCTGACCTGGCTCTGCCGCCTCGGAGGCTCCGGGCTGGTGCCGGGTGGTTTTGCTGTGCCAGTGGGAACTCTTCGCGAGCTCGGGCTTGTGTGGAGAGGCTGGGACGCAAAGATCTGCGGGGGGGCTGTTCCGCCTCTCGGGGGCGCGTTCTGCTGCCGCTGCCTCTCGTGCTTTGCCACTCGCTTTCTTTGCGTTGTGATTAAATGCTCTTAGGTTGTTGAGATATATTAATGAAGCATGGTGGTTTTTTTGTTTTTTGTTTATTTATGTATGTTTTTTGTATGTTTTTTTTTTTTTCTAGAAGTTTAATGAGCATAATTTATTTTTCTTTCCCATGCCAGGGTGAAACCACTGACTTCGAGCTGTTAAAGCATCAGCTGTCAGATCCTGACATAAAGGTAAGTTGCTGGCATGGGGCCGATGGTTTAACACTCAGCTGTCTGAGTGTCACCACGCAAGCCGTTCTGGTGCTTAAAAGCAAATCCTTTGCTTTAAGCATTGGTTAACATATAACTGCTTCTTTGCTTCATAGAAACGGTCAGAAGTAATGAAAAGTAGTTATTGTGTGTTTATGAGCAGACACATATCTCGTATGCAGAAACCTAATAAATGCTGTCTCATGCTTACTGACTTTGCTTTAGAGTGAGAAACTGTGCTTTTTGGTGAGATTTTTCTTCCAGATGCCACCTTTCTAGGTCTGTCTCTACGGATTCCGTAACGTAGATAAAACCATAACTGCTGACTGTCAATGCCTTTATGTTGTGAGTTACTGCCTCCCTCAGCTCTCACTAAGAACTTAGTTAATTAAGCATTGAGATTCATATGTATCTAGCAGTTAGAGGAGTAGTTTCAGGGCTGTTTCTTACAGCTGTGGGTATCGACGGTGTTTTTGTATTTTTTTTTTCCTTTTTTTATCTTTTAATTAAGTCACACAGTTGTCGGAAGAATGCTGCAGGAAGGATAATGTTATATGGATTTCCTTTTCTTTCTAAATAGAGTGTTCTGTAAAATACATTTTTTTTAGCAGAACTTCTGGGGAGTATGACCAAAATCAGTATAAAAATTTCTCTGTGGAATTGGTTCTTACTTCAATACTTGACTATTCCTCTGCTTAAACTAAGAGCAAATACAAAAGGAAAGTAGGGTTCTAGGTGCCACAGATACGTTCTTTGTTAATGAGGTTTGCATACCTTACTCAGTTTGTCACTTAAACTTCCCTGCTGGTTGGCGAGTGTGTATTGTTGTGTTAAAGAATTTTCATTGGTGAGGGTGCGAGTTCAAGAAATTCCTTCTATGATTGCGTGAAAATAATTTCAATTTAGTGTCTTAAACTTTGACTTGTGATTCTATGGGCTTTGGTATTCAAAAAAATCTTATCGTTTTTGGTCCTGTTGTTTACTAAAATAGGCTTGTTATTTTTTTCCCTACTTATATTAAGGATGCACAGATCATTAACTGGCTGCATGAATTTCGATCTTCTGTCACATATCTGACCAAGGACTTTGAGCAACTGGTCAGCATTTTGCTGGTAAATACTCATTTATTATATAGGCAGGTTAAGAGTGTAGTACTCAAAACATCTGTTTGACACCTTGGTCTTTATTTACTTTCAGAAACTACCATGGTTGAGAAGAAGCCGAGAGGTAGTGGAAGAATATCTGGGTTTTCTTGGCAATCTGGTGTCAGCACAAACTGTCCATCTTAGGCCATGCCTGAGCATGATTGTATCCCAGTTCGTTCCTCGTAAGTTACTTTCCTCTTAATATTCTTACTTGTTTATCAAAATAATTATTTTGCATATAAATTCTGTATAATACATCACAATCTAATTGTTTTCTGTTGATTAATTTAACTTGAATGACTGAATTGCAATACAGACCATTTTATGTACCTAGACTTCAGAAGATCTAGTCTAAAGGGTTATTAAAACTCTTAACGGAGCCTGTTTATTGAAGAAGTTTAGGAAGGGAAAGAACTGTGTAATGTTACTACTGAAAAACAGAAGCTCTAATGATGATCATATGAGATGATCAAGAACCTCCTGGTTCTCTGATTAAAGCAATGTTTTTGACTGTTCTTAGAGAAACTCTTGTGGATAATTTTGATGTTTTAGTCACACTGAAGACTGGTGTCCAGTGCACTTTGATTTAGTATTGGAGTTGTTACCTCATAAATTCCTCATGAGTATTCCAGTAATGATCTCATTTTTGGTAGCTCGAATAACCATCAGAGAAGATGATGTGGACATTTCAGATTCTGATGATGATGAAGAAAGTGAGTATAGAAGAAAATATGGCTTATGTATGCTTTTGTAATACTTCTACTAAAGAAATATATAATGCATGTTTCTTTATTTTTGCAAAATTACTTTACAGGAGTCAATACAAAACTTTAGGAAGCAGTACATCCTTAAACTACCTAGTAAGGAATTTTGTTTATATTTGAATCAGTGGTGTTGTGACTCAATCCTTGTTACTTGCAAAATACTGGTATTTGCTGCTGCAGTATTTTTAAGATTCAGGCTGAGCATTTGGGAGTACATTCTTAGTCCTAGATTGTTTCAAAGCCAAAGGATAGTGAGGAGTGGTCTGCTTTCATTTTATTTACACAATGAAACTGGCTTGTTTAGGAAATTCTTAAGGCCTTTTGTTGTTGTCTGCTTGTAGTAAACTCAAATACAATTGATATAAATAATGAAAATGATTTGTGTATTGATTAGACAAATTGAATTCTTAAAGGATATTTAGCTATCTGTGTCTTTGTATCTTGAATGCTGTAATAAATTTCTCTTTAGCTTGGGTTGACACAACTACTCTTCTGGTGTTCACTTGTGACACTGTTAGGATTTAAAGGAAAAAAAAATTCATGGAATCATAGAACAGTTTGGGTTGGAAGGGACCTTTAAGATCATCTAGTTCCAAACCCTCTGCTGTAGGAAGGGGCCCCTCCCTGTAGACCAGCTTGCTCAAAGCCTGTCCAGCCTGGCCTTGAACGCTTCCAGGAAGAGGGCATTCACAACCTCACTGGGCAGCCTATTCCAGTGTCACCACCCTCACAGTCAAGAATTTCTTCCTAGTAGCTAGTCTAAATCTGCTCTCTTCCAGTTTAAAACCATCTCCCAAAATAAAGGCAGCTCACCACATTATTGCTAGAAAAGCCTAATTATTTGTGTTTTTGTTTTAACTCTTGCAAATAAGGCATAATTTTTTATTTTATCTAGTTTTCCACATGTTTTCTAATTTTTTTTTTTTGGGGGGGGGAGGGGTATAAATTTGGGTTTCCAAGTTAGGCATTCGGTGTAAGTAGTATGGCAACAATACCTGGCTTTGGTGATGGTGGCAAATTAAGACTTTGTTGGGATAACTTGAATTGTATTTGGAGTGAATTTTCATGGTAACTTTAGTAGTTGGGCAGTTCAACTTAAAATCAAAAACAATGCCAAAAAAAAAAGGAAAAAAAAAGCCAACAACAAAATCTCAGTGAATACAGTCTCCTTGGGGATATTTAAAATGTTTAATTGACATGAACTGTTTTAATTGATTCCTGAGTTAGCTTTCTGCAACCAAATGGATAATAGCACCTTCTTCTTTCTCTAGACCTTTCTGAAAATTTTGATACATGTCACAGAGCATTGCAGACTGTTGCAAAATATGTTCCTTCGTGAGTATTTAATTCTTTGGTTTCAACTGCTTTTTTTTTTTTTCTTATACAGATATTAAGCTTGGTTATAAAGATAGTAAACAGGTCTTTTTTTTTCCCCTCCATATTGGAAATACAGTGCTTAATTTAATTGTGTGACATTTCGTAACATTCTGTAACTGATAGAATGTTATATCCTATTGTGAAATGTTAATAGACATCAGTAGCTGAGAGTCCTGTTAATAATAATAGCAAACACAAGGAAAGTCCTGCTTATAGCAGCACGCTTGAAGTAGCTTTTAACAAAGCCGCAGTAAAAGTTTATTATCTGTGCAATAATAGAAAATATTATATATAATTATTTATCTTAAAATAAGATTACTGTGAAATAATGAACTGATTCCAGTCTGTTTTTATAGTGCTGGAGCTTGCTCTCATGATAACAACCTATATATATTTTTTTTTTCTCCCCCCCACGCAGAACACTGCAGTTTCTTATGCCAATACTTGTGGAAAAATTTCCTTTCATTAATAAATCAGAAAGAACTCTGGTAAGAACTGTGAATATTATATTTATTTGTTCACTCACTTTTTAATATAGGAAAACATTCTACGGTGTAACAATCAATTTGGTGGTATTTGATGCAGATTTTTGAATGTGGTGTTTAAAAATCTTGGGTTTTTACAAGAATTTTTTACCTATAGAAACATACGTGTCCATGTGTGCCTGTTTGTTGAAAGGTTGTCCAAACATGCCTAAGTTCCCTGTGCATAAGCATTATGCAGCTCTTTAATGAGATAATTGCATATCTTTTTCCACGATTGTTTCCTTAATCAGTGCACAAGATGCACTTCTTTGACGATAAGTCTCCGAGTTGTATAGTAAGGAGAATGTAGGATACCTGTCTCAGTGTAAAAATTGGAAAGTATTCTTTGGAAGAACAAGGAATTTGATAAGCAGACAGAAAGATGGATGATATAGATGAAATCCAGTAGGGGTAGGGTACTACATTGTTGTATTACATCTCTGTTATGATGCTCCTGTGTGGTGGAAAGCAAGCTGGAAATTGTCATTCTGTTGGAGATACTTGGAAAAAAATTAGTTTTGACCTGTATCTGTTTCTTTAAATGACAAGTTAGGAAATGTATTTTGTAAAAATCCTTGAGAGAATGAAACTTTCACTTAACATTCTTATAGATATCTCTTAATTTTGTGTTACAGGAATGTTATGTTCACAACCTACTACGAGTTACAGTATACCTTCCAACATTAAGGCTTCAGATTCTGGAACTCATTGTTGAAAAGCTATTAAAGTTGGATGTAAGTTTGTTCTGTATCATCTTTCAAGGAGGAATGGTGTTAAAATACTCTTCAGCATTAAGCTTAACGAAAATACGTTCCAGTAGTACTCACAAACTCAGGATCATCAGTGTAGGGCTATTGTGGTTTAACACGGCAGACAGCTAAGCAGCACACAGCAGTTTGCTCACAGCCCTTGACTTTCTTATGGAATAGAGGAGAGAATCGTGGGCTGGGAGGGGTTGGGGAGTAAAAATCTCAGGGACTTTGAGTAATCTGGTCTAGAGGAAGGTGTCCCTGCCTATAGTAGGGGGCTTGGATCTAGTTGATCTTAAAGAACCATTCCAATCCAGACCATTGTATGATTCTAAACAGGAATGTTTCATATTGCTGTAATGGTCTTATAAAAATTAATTTCTTGTTTGTAGGTTAGTACACCCCAGCAAGATATTGAAGATGCTGAAGAAGCTGCTAATAACTCTGATAGTGAGGAAAAATCTACAGAGAAGGGGCTTTTTGACATGGTTGGTTATTTTTTTTTTTAGTAGAATTTTCACCTTTGAGGCAAAAATTTTCTTAGTTACACCTTATGCTTCTGAAACTGAAGTGTAATAATACATTGCTGCTTTGTTGATGCTGCTCTGTAAACAGGAAAAATTAAACAGTTTCAAGCCTAAGTAGCTGACAAATGATTAATGTCTTTTCCATGTGCTGAATTTAATGATATAAATATCCAGAATATGTACAGTACATCAGTTTCCCTACAAAAAAAATACAAGCAGTTGTATGTAAAGCTTATTAATTGTAATTGACTTAGTTTACAAAAATTTGCTTAGACTGAACTGTATAGGTACTGCTTTTAAGAACAACAACAAAAACTTCACCGTGAACATACAGATTTAGTTTCATTTTTCTCTATATAATTGTAATTAAGTTATCATTTATGACATCTTCCAGGAGGAAGATGAGGAAAGAAAAGAAAACAAAGTTGTCTCTCCCAGTAGTGAGAGAATGGCCCATCCACTTGCAGAGCGACTGGATATTTTGATGACCATTCTGTTTGCCTATATTAAAGACATTTGCCATGTGGATGGTAAGAATACAGGAACAATAAATTTGTTTTGCTAGCAAATAAGAAAAACATAAGAGGAATTCTCTTGAATTGCAGCAGGAGAAAGCAAGCCTTTATCCTTTAGTGGCAGAGTTCTGCTATTAGCACATTCCTGGCTTTGGCCAGTGTTTATTGTCTGAAGGTGCACAGGTTCATTTATGACATTAACAGCCTGATCTTCAGTTGGAGACATTTTGAATGTATAAATATGGCACTGTACCCAAAATGTAATGTGTCAGGGTATAAGAGTAAATAGTTTTCTTTTCTCATCGTGGTACTAAACTTCTCTGTGGGTCAGAAATACTTTCTAATTAACCAAAGTATTTTATCATTTTTTCTGCTGTACTGTTTTGAGAATTAGAACTGTGGATTCTTTGAACAGCATAAACACAAGGAGTAGGTTAGAAGAACCAGTTGAAATTGGTGAAGGACTTGTACTAAAGGAAAAACCTGATTTATTTATTTATTTATTTATTAGAAACACAAATTTTACACTGGCACTTACTAAGGGGGGCTGAATGTTAGACTTATTTAGAATAGAATATTTAGAAAATTGCTTTATCATATTAGCGAGGCAGTTTTGTTTCTTAGTGTTTTCTTTTGCCTGTTCTGAAGTAGCACATTATTTCAAATTTTGCAGTCTATCAGTATTGCACATGCTTACATTCATGGATTTACTTCTTTTTACATTATTTTATATGAAGAATAACTGAAGTTCTGGAAGGTCTTAATACAAACATTTTATTTTAGTTGCCAGGTAAACTTACAAGTTAGCTTGTCAGTGGCTTTTTTGGTTTTTGTTTTTTTTTTTAAACATATTTCTTCCTGATTCAGAAAGATAGAAATACCATTTTCACAACATGAGGGCAGGAAAAAACCTGATATGACTCATTTTTGTTTTCTTTTTGTTGCTGTGTAGGCAAGCTTGATATCAACAAGACAAAGGATTTGTATCGGGATCTCGTTTCTGTTTTTGATAAGCTCATTTTACCAACCCATGCTTCTTGTCATGTACAGTATTTCATATTTCACATCTGTAGCTTAAAATTGGTGAGTAGAAAATGTTCTTAAAATGATGTGTCTTTATACTTTGGCTTTTCTACAAAAGTTAGTTGCTTTTTTCCCTATAGTTCTACTATTACTGTACGTTTTTCTGAAGATTATACATCAGGATTTATTAGTATCCTTTTTCTCCTCCCCTTCTGTTATTCCTTTATTCAAATCCTGCTATATTTTCAGCCTTCCCCATGCTGTTCATAAATGTCAAGCAGCTCAAAACCAGCCCATTGTGAAGGAATGCAATAATAGAGGTCTTTTGCAGAAGTCAGTTGGACTTTTAAACCTAAGGCATAGTGCTTGTGCAAATTTGATTGGCATCCAAAAACTGAGTGCATTGTTAGCTCTTCAATTTGGAATTTGTATTTACTGTTCAGCACCCTCCATTTTCCCATCTCTTAGGCAAAATGCTTTTCTTTCTGTAACATTCTAAAACAAAAGCATCCGTACTTTTGGCATAAGATTAGCTGGAGATCCATTTAGCATTGTCCTTGAACTCTGACAGTGAATAGCAGATGCATTGCAAAGAATACTTGAGTATAGCGAGCATTGTCAGAATAGCATCTCAGCCTCTAACAATATTTCAGTAACTTCCTGAACAGAAGTGACATTCCATCGCAAAGCATTGTGTGATGGGCAGATTCAAGGGGAAGATTTCATATTGCTTTTTAAATTTTTTTAGTGATACAGATTTTGATATTGTGATCTTCCTGTGCCAACAAGTCCCAGAATGTAACTGTTTACAATGAAGAAACACTTTCTGTATTTCTCAAAGTTCAACTTCCTGCTGTTTTCATTGGATAACCCCTATCCCTTCTGTTACAAAGACAGTTAACAGTTGCTTCCTGTTACCCTTGTTAATGTTTTTAAAGACTTCTAAGGTTTGACTGTGGAAATTGTTGGAACTGAGTATTAGAAATATATTATTGTCATTGCTATAACAACTCATGTTTTCTGTATATCTTCATTTCAGGGATTGGCTGAGGCATTTTTAGACCATCTCTGGAAAAAACTGCAAGATCCAAATAATCCTTCGGTGATCAGGCAAACTGCTGGGAGTTACATTGGCAGCTTCTTAGCAAGAGCTAAATTTATTCCAGTTGTGTATGTTGTGTTGATATAAGAGCGTGGATAGGTTATGTTGACTTCGGGCTGAGTTACAGATACTCAGTATATTTGATATTCAGAAGTATATTTTTAATGATCTGTGTTAAGTATTTTATACGGATTCTGAGACAGGAAACTCAAGTGTTCAGCTGTTTTTGTGCATGTTGAAAATATTTCAGCAAAAGGATGAAAATCTTTGTATTTATGTATTCTGTATTTTTATGCTGTTAAAGGTGTGGGCTCAGTGACTTTAATGGTAAATTTAATTTGATATTGGAATTACTTGTTGGACATTGCTTATAGCTCAGCATTTATATTGTTTGTTGCACATGTCCGTGCAGTGTGCATTCTTGGATTCATCTCCTGGCATCTTGTGCTTTCACTGGGCATTTCAGTACTGATATGTTGATTTGTTTCTTGCTGATATAAAGAAGAAAGCTCATAACAGAATCTATTTTTTCTAGTGATAATTTTCTTAATTACAGTTTTGTGACTGAGATCTTTGAATACTTGTTCAACATCTTTTCTATGCCATTTTAGAATCTATTTTTACGCATTATTTTTCTTCATTATAGCACAGTAAAAGCATGCCTGGATCTGCTGGTTAATTGGATGCATAAATACATTGATAATCAGGATACAGGGGCTAATGCTTACTGTGATGTAGCTCTCCATGGGCCATTTTATTCCGCATGTCAGGCAGCATTCTATACGCTTATTTTCCGTCATAAGCAACTTTTGGATGGAAACTTAAGGAAAGGTGAGTATAACAGGTTTGAAAGGTGTTGGGATTCATTTGCAAGATTTACTGTCGATTTGTTTTTGATGGTTAATTCAGTCAAGTATTTGACAGATTTACATTGTACTCTAAATGCAGTAAGATAGCTTACATACCTGAGCTATCAACCTAAATAATCTTTTTTTTCTTCAGCATTGAAAGCAGTGCAGGTAACTCTTTAACTTAGATTTCTGGCCCCAGTTGCTTGCTGAGCATGTTTGAATTCCAGCTGTGTTGAACTAGTGTGGTCTTCAGTTGGTAACAGTCCATGAAGTCTCTGTCCTTCTCAATTCCCATGTAAATGTAGTGTCTTTGGAAGGGTCTCTCAGCTGTGGCAATCTGCCGTAAATTGGAATAGCTTTTCTATTCAACAAGCTGTAGGCTAGATCACTACTCTAATAGATGTAGAATTTGCTTATCTGATCTTGTGCATGGTGATGACTGGAAATTCTTAAAAATTAAGCTAAGCTTATATGATGTATAACCTGTATATAATAGGTTTATTTGATAATTGTTCTTATTTTGAAGGTCTGTCATATCTGCAGAGTTTAAATTTTGAGCGCATTGTCATGTGTCAGCTAAACCCTCTGAAGATATGTATACCTTCTGTTGTAAACTTGTTTGCTGCCATTACAAGGTACCTTTTTCGTTTACTTTGTTTTCATCTAGATACCAGTTTATAGATGTGTGTGTATAATAACAGCAGTTATTTAGAACTTAAGATATATAACACAAAGTATTCATTGTTATCCAAGAGAACACAGAATTTTGCCCAAGTTCGTTTCTGGTTCAGTTTCAATTGAATCCTACAATGCTGTAAAACTGTTTCACTGTTCAAGTATTGGTGCCAGTATGGTTCTAATTGGAGTAAAACTTGCAGGAGTGCAGAGAAAGAGAATAGATTCTAACGTACATCCCCTGTGGCTGTCTTGGAAACACCTAATACCAGTTCCAAAATGAAAGGTAGAAATGATGTTATTTAAAAATGACTTTTGTATGTGAATGTCTTCTGAAACATTTGCAATCTCTGTGCTAGAAATGCTTATCTTTCCCTTATTTTTTAAAGGAAGTACCAGCTGGTGTTCTGCTACACAATTATTGAGAGAAACAATCGGCAGTTCATACCAGTTGTTCGGAGTGGCACTGGGGGTGACTTTGTGCAGATGTGCACTAACCCACTTGACAGTTTCTTCCCCTTTGATCCCTATATGCTCAAAAGGTATAGTTGATAAATGGACAGTTCATATTTGTCTTGTAGCAAATAATAAGCTAAAATCTGGAAGAAACAAAACTGATTTTCTTACCTGAACTTTAGTGCTTCTTATGTTGCGTATCTTAATCTGTGATTATCTTTTAAAAATTTGGAAAGGAATTTGAGACAAGTGTAGTTGTTGAAAATGTCTAACTAGGGATTAGAAGACCTAATTGTATCAGAACTCCTTAAGCAAACAATTTTAATTTATGTTTATCAGCAAAGCTGATAAAGAGTAATCTTTCATGGAATTAATTGGAGATTATATAGGGACAGAGTTGTTTGTGAAATCCTGAAGATGGCTATCAGAATTCCAACCATTTATATTGGATTGTTAAAATCAAATCCATTTTACTGAATAAAATAACTCGCACTGTCTTTTAATTCCACTTTCAGATCAAAGAAGACCATTGATCCATTTTATCAGTTTTGGGAAGAACTGAGTGCTGAAGATTTAGAGAATCTGAAGAAGCCAATTAAAAGGGTAATCTGTTACAAAATGCAATTCAGTAGCCACTCTGTCAGCTGCTTTCATTTGCTTAATTGGTTAGCTAGTGACTATAAGCATAGAAAACGTGATAGACAGTGACTGGAATCAGATAGAAAACTTAAAAAATTGATCCAACCTTACTTTTCCTCTCTATGGAAGAGTGTGTACGGACACAACTGTTAGGAGCATCCACGTGGTGTATGTGCAGTCTTGTTACAGGGATCAATCTGCTTTGTAGATAGTTGCTTCACAATGAGTGTACATATAATTCTCTTGTCGTCCTAACTAATCATGACAGTTGTAGCACATCCCATGTTCTTCCACTGCTTCTACAAAGTCTGTTTACCTTCTTGCAGAATGTCTATCCTTTTTCAACTTTTTGTCAACTGTGTATTTCACAGAAGTGTAGAATGGCTTGAGTTGAAAGGGACCTCAAGGATCATGAAGCTCTAACCTCCTGCCGTATGCGAGGCCATCAACCTCCATATCTAATACTAGACCAGGCTGTCTAGGGCCCCATCCAATCTGGCCTTGAACACTTCCAGGGACAGGGCATTCACAACCTCTCTGGACAGTCTGTTCCTGCACCTCACCACTCTCTTGGTAAAGAACTTGGCCCTGATAACCAACCTCAGTCTTCCCTCCAACTTAAAGCCATTTCCCCTTTTCCTGCCTTATCGACCCTTTCAAAGAGTGGACTCCCCTCCTGTTAGTAGGCTCCCTTTAGGTATTGAAAGGCTGCAATGAGGTCACCCTGCAGCCTTCTCTTCTCCAGGTTGAACAAGCCCAGCTTCCTCAGCCTGTCTACATAGGGTAGGTGCTCCAACCCTCTGATGATCTTCGTGGCCCTCCTCTAGTACCCTGTCTTTCTTGTAGTGGGGGCCCCAGACCTGGATGCAGTACTCCAGCTGGGGCCTCATGAGGGCAGAGTAGAGAGGGACAGTCACCTCCCTGTCCCTACAGGCCACTCCTGAGAGCCCAGGATACCATTTGCTTTCCAAGCTGCAAGAGCACACAGCTGGCTCACGTTAAGTTTTTCATTTCTTCCCTTTCTATGATAACATGGAAAAATATGGTGTTGTAGATTTGTAGGTGCCTTTTGTTAACTGGTAAGTTTATTGATTTTACTCCAGTGTTTTGATAGGAGATTTGATGAATGTATTTTGGAAATACCCTTTTTGGTTTTAGCAGTTTTTACTTCTGTCAAATAGAGACCTGGAATGTATTTTTGCTCTCACTGATCCTTTTCAATTCATGCAGGGTACTCCTGAAGATGAAGATGATGACTTTTTGAAAGGAGAAACCCCTCAAAATGAGGGTGTGGTTGAAATTACTCCAAATTCTTATGAGTCAAATACCCGGAGCCCAGTGAGCAGCACTGGCTCTCCTTCAGACTGTCATGCGCAATATCGACACTGACCTGGAGAACTAGAAGTGGAAGAGAAAATTGCGTGCTATTTTTTGCTCGCAAAGAGACTTTAGCTCGACTTTCTGAAATGGCAAATGCTTCATCATCAGTTTTCTATGGATATATTAAGATAAATTCAAATGCTGCTAGAAAAGTCTAGAGAATAAATAGGGTAATATTTTACAAATTTTATATTGAAATGTTTTTATGACTTCTGGGTTGTTTTTTTTTTTTAATAGTTTTTCTTGACCTTTAAAGACTTTTGTTTATTAACATTTCTCTATGAAGTTTTACATATTGGGTGAAATTCTGATCTTCCTAATTTTTGATTTGTGTGACCAGAAATCCATTATCAGTATTTATAGATTCACAGGGTTGGAATGGACCTCAAGGATCATGAATCTCCAACCCCCCTGCCACGTGCAGGGCCACCAACCTCCACATTCAATACTAGACCAGGCTGCCCAGGGCCCCATCCAATCTGCCTTGAACACCTCCAGGGACAGGGCATCCACAACCTCTCTGGGCAGCCGTTCCAGTACCTCTCTACTCTCTCTGAGAAGAATTTCCCTCTGACATCCAACCTAAATCTTCCCTTCCTCAAAACCATTTCCCCTTGTCCTGCAATTATCGATGCTTTCAAAGAGTTGATTCCCCTCCTTTTTGTAGTCTCCCTTTAGGAATTGAAAGGCTGCAATGAGGTCACCCTGCAGCCTTCTCTTCTCCAGGTTGAACAAGCACAGCTCCCTCAGCCTGTCTTCATAGGTAGATGCTCCAATCCCCTGATTGTCTTTGTGGCCCTCCTCTGGACCCTCTACAAGAGTTCCCTGTCTTTCTTGTACTGGGGGCTCCACACTTGGATGCAGTATTCCAGATGGGGCCTCAAAAGAGCAGAGTAGACAGGGACAATCACCTCTCTATCCCTGCTGGCTACCCCTCTTTTGATGGAGCCCAGGATACCATTTGCCTTCTGAGCTGCAAAGGCACACTGCTGGTTCATGTTAAGTTTTTCATCTATTAAGATCCCCAGGTCCCTCTCCACAGGGCTGCTCTCAAGGACCGCTCCTTCCAGTCTGTATGGATGCCTGGGATTCCTCCGGCCCAAGTGCAAAACTCTGCACTTTGCTGTGTTGAACCTCGTCATGTTTACCCGGGCCCACCTTTCCAGCCTCTTGAGGTCCCTCTGAATGGCATCCCTTCCTTCTGCCATGTCAACCACATCACTCAGCTTGGTGTTGTCAGCAGATTTGCTGAGGGTGCACTCGATTCTGTCGTTGATGTCATTGATAAAGATGTTGAAGAGCACTGGTCCCCAGACAGACCCCTGGGGGATGCCACTCGTTACCAGCCTCCACCTGGACTTAGAGCCATTGATTACCACCCTTTGTCTGCAGCCTTTCAACCAGTTTCTTATCCATCGAGTGGTCCAATTTGGAGATAAGGATGTGGTGAGGGACCGTGTCAAAGGCCTTGCTCAAGTCCAGGTAAATTACATTGGTCACTTTTCCCTTGTCCATTGATGCTGTCACTCTATCATAGAAGTCTACCAGATTGGTCAAGCATGACCGGTGAACTGTTCCCTGATGACCTTTTTTAGTTGGTTTCAAGTAATGCTGTGATCTCATGATAGGGAAGCCCCTCTGACAGTGGTTCTGCTGCACACATCTCTGAGCTTGTCCTATCTGGAGAACAGTGCTTAATAAAGGCCCTTGGTAGTGGTGAGTGTATTCAGATGGTAAGCGTTATTGCTGCTTAAACGTGTGGATGACACACAGCTTTTCCAGCTATGAAAGTTTTGATACGTGAAGTGGTGATTGTTGGAAGTGTTGAAAATGAGTAGCTGAAAGTATGATTTGTAGATAGTTTTATTTGAGGTGCTTGTGAAGCACTCTGAAAAGGTATTTATTTTCAGGATTTGAACTTCTCTGTGAATGCTGAAAATATAAACAAACAAACCCCACATCCCTTGTGAAAAGGAATTGATGTCTGCTATTATTGTATTGTTTGTATGTCAGAAAAGAGTTTCTCCATAGATTTTTCATTTTTTCACTATTATTTTCTTTCTTGATTATAAACAGTGCAAAAAATGTTATTTGTGTAACATATAGTTGAAAATTTAATGCATGTGGGACACAGTTAATCTGCCCTTTTTTAGTCTGAGCTTGTAGGCTTTCAAGACAGTGCGTTTATTCACAGCCAATAAAGACTGATGCAAAGAGTGCCAATTCTGCGCTTTGTGTGTAACTGAGGATCTCTCTATAGTATATTCTCTGGAGAATATATTCTTCAGAGGTAGAATGTTTATTCTAGCAGACTGAAAAGTAGTTTCAGGGATGATACTGCAAAATTTGTTAGTGGGCTCTGTTAATCACTGTATAAATTGAAACTTAGCTTTTGTTTTTAATTTTAGTTCTCTTTACTGTTGTTCTTGTGCACTGAACAGTAATTTCCATCTGAAATAGTTGTCTCTCTCCTGGCACAGAAGTACCCTTCTCACAACCATGGCAAAGAAAATGCTTTCTGGAAGCTGCGTTTTTCTGCTCTTTCGCTTTTGTGTCCTCAGCAACACAGTCACTTACAAAATGAGGCTCTATAAAACTTGACAAGATGTAGCATCAGGTATGTGATGCAGGAGCTTCTGTGTCATATTAAAACTGGGTGAGAGAGGGGGAGGAAGGGGAAAAGATTTTTGACACGAGGTGTAACATTAAAAATGTGCAGGCATGTCTGTTCTGAGGGGCAGAGTCAACTTTAGTATGCTAAAGGGACTTGTTTAAAAAAAAATAAAACAAAAAATCAGGCAGGAGCTCCTTAGTGTTTCCTTGACTCTTCTGAGTTACTAGCCTTAGCATGGCTGCAACCAGCAGTGCTAGAAGGTCCTGGCAATTTGCTGCATGGACTGTTCTGTAAGTGCTGCTTCAGAGGTGGAGATTTTGCTGAGATTTGAACCTGGTGAGGTTCCCTGTGAAATATGAAGCATCTTTTGAAGAAAGTATCTGCTGTAACTTTATTTTGTGAAAATGATATTAGAAAAGTAGAGTGTGTGGTCTGTTTTCCTCACTCTGTTGAGAGTCCCCTTTGCTCTGGCTGTCCTCTCCCACTTGGAATTGTTTTGGGTGAAGGCTTCATAGAGCTGGGGGGCGGTTTATTTGTAAATTGGAGAGCTGCTGGTAGACATTTCCAACAGTTTCTTACAGTTCCTGAATAATTATGCAAGGGAAGGAGGAGGGGGGGTTACAGAGCGTTAAGAGCCGTAGAAGCACCACGAGCGGACCGCTGCTGTCGGGAACGAGCGCAGACCGCCGCTTCCTGCCGCCGCCCCGCCCTCAGCGGCTTCTGCCGCGGTTTCCCAGCGCTCCGCGCGGCGGCGCCCGACTTGGCCCAGCGCGGCCCCGGGGAGGAAGCGCGGAGCAGCCGCCTCCCGCCCTGGGCGTTCTCCGCGATGCCGCTGCTGATTAACGGGGAGCGGATTGATCTGACTCGGCTCACGGGAGGCGTGATCCGCACCCACCCGCACCTGGAGGTGAGGAGGTGGCCGAGCCCTCGCCGCGGGGTCTGTGCTCTCTTGCCCCGAGGCCGCCTCGCTGAGGGCCGCCTTAGGGCGGGCCGGCCCGACAGCGACGTGAGCGCTGCGGCGGCTCTGGGCGGGCCTGCGGAGGTAGCAGGTCTGGGGCGGCTATGCGCGGCCCCGGCCCGTGAAAGAGGCGCGAAGTGGCTGAAGGGAAGCGTGTCCGCATCGTGGAGGCGGTAGCTGCCCTGTGGTGAGAACTTGGCGTGGGGCGGCGGGGGCGGTCGGTGCCCTCGGGCCGAGGAACCGCGGGGTGAACCGGCGGCTAGGGATGGACGTCGGGATTGCGGTATCGGAGAGGTGTTAACTTCGTTCTAATACAGTAAACGTTTTAATCAGAACGGCAGCTCGTGGGTTAGGAACTGCCTAACAGAGCTGGTTGGAGAGCTGTTTTTCATAAGAAAGTGCCGTTTTGTGGAAACTGAGTTCTTGGGGGGGGGGGGGGAATTAAAAAAAAAAAAATTAGTGCAGATTTGATAAAAACTGAGTGAAATAGTTTTGGTTTTTTTTCAGCTCTAGTGTAGAAATGTGCACAGTAGCTAGCCAGCAGTGCAGTCAGAGCCCAGGAAGTCAGTTTTCCATCGGTTAAGCATGATGATTAATTGCTACAATTTGCTAGTAATTAATAAGTATATTGGATTGTGGCCATGAAAAGCTGAAAGTTTCACGTTTTGGAGAAGAAGGAAATTTTCTGTCAGGTAGTGATAGGATGAGAGGGAATGGCCTCAAGTTGCACCAGGAAGGTTCACTTTGGATGTCAGGTCAGAATTCCCTGAGAGGGTGGTTGGTTAGGGGAACGGGTTGCGCGTGGAGACTGGGGAGTCACCGTCCCAGATGGTGTTCAAGAAATATGTAGATGTGGTGCTTAGAGACATGGTTTAGTGGCCAGTGGTAGTGGTAGGTGGACTGTTGGACTGGATGATCTTAGAGGCCTTTTCCAACCTTAATGAGTGTATGATTTTGTGCTGTGTAAAATTGCAAGATCTGCTCTGGCATTGTCTGATGTCAGCTTGGCCCTGTCCTGTTGTTCCTCCATTTACCTTCTATAAAGCAGGGAAAGAGTATTTTCTGTGTGGGGAATTATGGGATTTAACAGCTAGCCAATGTGTGGCAGGAAGATGAAAAACCAGAAATTCAGAATCCTCCAAAATACAAAATATGCCATGTTTGCTGCTAACCTGGGTACCTTTGCTTTTTGGAGGTGATGTTTCTATCAAGTGGCTGAGAATTCAGCCTCTGTAGTCTTTATTATCATTTATCTTTAGGAAAAGGCAAAACTTCTAAGAAGTCAGCCTACTCAAATTGTGGAACCCAAAGGGCTTCTGTATGTCCAGCAGAGAGAGTTTGCAGTGACCACCCCTAATGATGGTATGTACGAGTGTAAGCACTTCTGCTAAAGCAATTATTACGACAGCAAAGTTCATACACAATCTCTCTCCTTTAAAATAGGTTCTGTGTCTATTCTTGGGTCGGATGATGCAACTACCTGCCACTTAATTGTGCTCCGACACACAGGTATCTTAATGGGTGTTCTGCACACAGCCTGTACCTCTAAATTAGTACAGCTCAGATCATCACTGGTTTATGCTGCATTAATGAAATAAGCTGCAATTTCATTTATATAAACTGACGTCTCAAAAAGTTACAAGGTGCTTTAACTGTGATAAATTCAGAGAGTTTGTGTATTCAGTACCAGTTCCATGTTCACTTTGCTAAATGAGCAAATCGTAAACTCGATCTGCTTTAGTGGCCACTTTTGCAGCGTCTCACAGGCTGGGTGTGAATGCCAGAGAGTTCAGCCAGCTGGATGAGCAGAGTTTGGCAATAACAACAACATGTAGAATTTATGGGAAAGGCTTCCTGTATTTCTGATAGCAAGGGTGTTTCTTGGTCCTTACTGGGAAGGTGTTTGCACCAGTCATTGTTCAGCTGATTTTTATAATGGGGCGTACATAGAGGTTATTGTCTCATGCAGTCAGCCCATCAGCCCATCTCTTATGCTAGAGGCTACTGAACTAATAGAAATGAGTAGGTGGGGCGTAGTTCTTGCATTCAGTAATAATGCAGACTGTTGTTGACCTGAATTATGGTAGTGAACAATGTCCACCAGTGTCACTGTCTTCTCACATCTTCCTCAGGCAGCGGAGCCACATGCTTGACACACTGTGATGGATCAGACACAGAAGCGGAGGTGTCGCTCATCATGAGTTCAGTAAAATCTTTCTCTAACACCACAGGTTATGGAAGGTCAGCTTTGCTTTGTTAATTGTTACATACTGTTTTTCACAAGAGCAGCTGCAGTTTGTAAGTTGTGGAACTGTTATCTGATTTTATGGGGTTCAAACAAGGTAACCGTGCAAGAAATATTTCTATAAGGGGCTGTATGGAAAATGATAACTATTGTATTGATTTATTGATGATGATGTTGTGGGTATTTTCTATCAGTGATCTAAAGCGTGGTTCTATTCTGAATAGTGGCTTTGTAAAAATGCCATTGAGTGGTTTGGTGTTTACTGTTTCTCAGTAACTTTTATTTCAGATGTACTAAACTTTCCAAATAACTGTTTTTAGTTGTTCTGTTTTTCCATGAGAAATGTTGGTCTTGTGAATTCCTTTTGGATCTGAGAATCTGTCTGGGATTTTTCAAGGACCCATACTGGGGAAAAAACAACAACAACAACAGCAACAAATTCTGAGATAGATTTTGGCTAGCAAGGCTTTTCTTCAGTGTGGAGATTTTTTGCCTGTGTAGTTTGATAAGAACAAAAACTCCATGGACTTGGAAAATGTGGTCTCTAGAACTCATGATCTACCTTGCCCAGTTTTGAAAGATAAATGTTGGCCTTGCTAGGTGATTGATGATGCTTCCTCTCACTTTTTTATTGTTTCTGAGACCTTGCGCCCAAAACCCAAAAATTGTCACTAGTTGTCTTTGTTGTTGTTTTTTGTTTGGTCAAAAAAGCTCACAAACAACGCCTGTCTTTATATAGACACTTCTTGGAGAAGAATGCTGCTGTATGGCCTAGAGTAGTTCTGGAGACCATGGGAGTAAACTCCTTCACATTTAGCTCACTGTTTTTTGGGAACCGAGAGGTAGTTACTGAGTTATGTCCAAAACTGAGGCACTGACCATCACAGTTACCTTGGGTTTCGATAGAATTGCATGTGTGTAATGCTTGCTGAGGCGTTTTTTTTTTAAATATTGTGCTGTTTCTTGAATGATTCCTAAGTGTTCAAAATAAAATTACCAACCACAGTTTGCTACACATACAACCATTAACAAGTGAGACTCCTCTAATGATTGCATTGTAGTTTGGACTGGAGATTATTTTGTAAAGGTATTCACTTTGGGATGTCATCTTAACTGCTGTTTCCTGTTATTCCATCTCTGTTAGGCTGGAAGTGCACCTAGTTGGAGGTTTCAATGATGATAGGCAGTTATCACAAAAACTTACTAATCAGCTTCTTAGTAAGTTCACATTTTTTCCACTCTCATGTAGAAAAAAATAGTTCTGACTGGATTTGGGTAAAATCTGCTTGTAATAGGAACAAGTGGGGATTAATTTTGGAGGGTGTTTTCTCTACTTGCAAACTTGCTGAAGAGGAGGGGTTGGACTTCTGAGGCTTGCCTGTGGCCAGGTGTGGAGCAGGGAATTG